ACCCGGGAGGCGGAGGTTGCGGTGAGCCGAGATCACGCCACTGCATTCCAGCCTGGGTGACAGAGCGAGATCTCCAAAAAAAAAAAGTCAAGCAAAGAGTAGCAGCCAAATTCTTAAAATTCAGTAAATTCGTATCTCAAGACATGTTCTTTATTTAGGAAAATTCCTGAGTGACCTATGAGTGTAGAAAGATGATGCTCCTATTAGTACATGGCCTGAAGGGATTAAAAAAGTAATTTTTCTGTAAAATGCAAGCAGAAAGTTTGAGTTTCTGGGAAAAATGGGAGTGCACTAGAAAAATGAAGGTGATGTGAGGTGGTCCAGAAAAAGAGGGCTCAGTACTAAGTAAGAGACCATGTGGCAGAGAAACAGATTGCCCCTGGGAAACAGAAATTCTGGGAAGCAAGAGGCACTGAATGTTGACGTCTCAATGTTAAGATACTTTCTCTAAAGTAATGTAACTCCTCTTTGTGGCCTCTAACAGACTGTCACTTATTACCACTGACATGAGTTTGCACAGGGGATTATCCAGAATGGAGCAAATGGGGCGGAAGGATCCCTCACATCCATAATTCTCAGTAACACTCTCAAAACCCTCAATCTGAGGGCCAGATTTATTCCCCTGCCTGAAACAACAAGGAACAAAACCAGACAAGATATATGAAAAAAATGATTCCAGATGGAAATACATGAATGATAGTGATAGAGGAGAAATGCTCATACCAGTAGACAGAAAATCTACATAGAACAAACAGAGATCAAGAGATGAGCAGAAGTGGAAAAAACAAAACAAGAGGTAACCAGAAAAAAAATGAATGCTGCTATGAACCCACAAGAAATAAAAGGACTAGGGTAGAACTGGATTTCTCACAGTACGAGGAATGGACCCTGTCTCTGTTTGGGGCTGACACCTGGGTGCCCACCTTTCTTTCACTCTCCAAATCCCATCTGTTAGGAAGTCTTGTTAGTTACAACTTTAAAACACATTCAGGACCCAACCACTTCTCCTCTCTGCCACTGCTACCACCCTAACCCAAGTCACTGTCAGCTCTCACCTGGACAACAGCAGAGATCCTCTTCACCTTCCCAATTACAATTTCACATGCCCCTGACTCCCAATCCACTTATTCACATAGCATTCAGCACATCTGTCACCTGACACAAGAGCTTAAATTATTTGCTTACTGTCTATCTCGCCTACTAAAACATGAGCTCCATGAAGGCAAGGTCTTCTTTTTTTTTTGTTCATTGCCTTACTCCCAGAGACCAGAACAGTGCCAAGGTATACACAATCATCCCTCAGTATCCGTGGAGAATTGGTTCCAGAACACCCCTTCATTCTCCACTCTTCACACATCAGTTTATGGGGGTTCAGGAGGACCAGGATCTGCAAATCATACTGTAAGAAACATCATCTTGCTTTGTCAACTAATGCTGGGACTACAACGACTTGTATATAAGAGATTCATAAATGCTCACTGAATAAAAAAATGAATAGAAAATAAGTTTCAGGTCATATTTGGTACCTAGGACTAGCCTGGGCAGAACCCAGATGCTTTTGTATCTCTTAGCACACACGATGAATGACAGAATTGATACTCAAAAATGATGTGAATTCTAAAAGAAAATATATTGTTTAACAGGGACCTAAGCCAATTCTTTGTCAGCCACAAGAAACACAGAGATGGCTAGGGCAATTCTTCAAAAACTTACGTATCTGTATCTCTACTTATTCGTGAACAAGTTCAAGTAACTCAGATATAGTATAACTTGCTCTACTCGAGATGTATGCAAGAAACATTTGGGAGTCACAAAGAAGGAAGTGAACATCTTTACCTGAGGAGGTCAGAGGGTCAAGGAAAGATTTCTGAAAAAGATTTAACTTAGGCTGGGCATGGTGGCTCACACCTGTAATCCCAGCACTTTGGGAGGCCAAGGTGGGTGGATCACTTGAGGTCGGGAGTTGGAGACCAGCCTAGTCAACATGGCGAAGCCCTGTCTCTACTGAAAATAGAAACATTAGCTGGGCATGGTGGCACACGCCTGGAGGCTGAGGCAGGAGAATCGTTTGAACCTGGGAGGCGGCAGGCTGCAGTGAGCAGAGATCGCACCACTGCACTCCAGTCTGGGAGACAGAGCGAGACTCCATCTCAAAAAAAAAAAAAAAAAATTTAACTTGAGCTGAGTCTTTAGGGAAGAAGGTACAGTCTGTGTGAAGGCATAACATACATGATTAAGTGGTTACTGAGAGAGAGTTAAC